TTGTGCTAGCAGAGGGGAGTGCGGAAAGGAACATCAGTAAAATCAAAAGAACAGAGGACACAAAGATATATAACTCCGCAAAATTTGATGCAATTAATGAGATTTATACAAAAAATGCGAGTCTGTGAGGTGATTGGCCGGTATCACCAGATGCCAGCCAGAGAGATAGGGATTGTATAGTATTGAGCGTGTATTCGTTGCCGCGATAACGCTTTTACCGAGCCTTTGTCCCAGGAGGAAATATCAGTATTATGGAGGTCGTAGTATCGGTCATTCTAAGCAGTGTGCGTATATGTACATGTGTCCTGTTCCGAACGGTTTCCGAGATGCAGATATTTCACTGTACACTGAACATTATACAGACGAGCAACACGAAATGTCCTCACAAGAGTTGCAAAGTGCAGTGATGTTGACGGTAAACTGTACAAACTTTTGTCACCTGAACAATAAATACCGGTATTAAGAACAGTACGTAATATTTCTTTCTTATCAACAATTTTGGAAATGTACAGTGAAATAGCTGTATCTCGGAAACGGTTCGGAATAGGACACACGTACATATACACATTTTTGCTTAGAGTGGCAGATACTGTGACCTCCCGAATATTGACCTCAACTCCTGCGTCACCCTGTATATATAAGAGTATGGATTCTTCAACTGCACCGATCGACTCTTCTCTGACTCCCTTACAACCAACTTCTATTCTTTCGGTTACAACATCTCGGCACGGACTGCGAAGAAAACGCCGTTTATTGTTGCATTCCGATTGTTTCCGTCGGAAAGTCTTTGTTTGCGATGGCGTTACCCAGTAGCGGCTCAGTCTACTTGTGTGTTAAAAGTCTGTTTCCTAGCAGTGGATGTTGTTTCATAGCTTGTTTTGAGGTCGTTACCCCGTAACAGGCCTATATGCTGAAATACTGTCAAGTAACCCCTTCACGAATTACTATTGTTAAGGGTCTGGTCTGGTCCTCGCCAGCACAGTGATTCTTGGTTCTGAGGCCAGGGATATCCATCACCAGTTTCTACTCCTCTCTCAAGACTCTGGGAGCTGTACCGCTCTTTCATAGCAGCATTTCTTTTCCGGCGATTGCCAACGCATATTGCCACTGGGATGTTTCCTAGTTAACGGCGCACATATGTGCAGGCATAAACTGCTTTACTGAAACTATGTACTGTTGATGACATCTCTTTTAGAGAAGCCCCCCCCCCGAAAAAAACCACTCCTTATACACTTAATTTTATTCTGGTCCGTCACACTAGTAACCTAATTATAGAATAACTGTTAACATCGTCCAGTGTGATTCAATTTGTGGATATTTATTGCCTTTGTAAGATTTGAGGCTTTCACGGCGGTGACTATGAAGAAAGCAGTCTTCTGGGATTTGGCACCGTGTATATGTGGTGTTAACCGACGTTTCGGAGGAACGTATCGCCTCCATCTTCAGGGTAGAAGAAAAAAAATATAAGAA